AGGTCGTTGGATTTCAAAGCGCGCTCCACAACCCTCAATCACTCACATCATGCGCCATCCGCGACACCCTCTACACCACCCCTCCTCCCGCCCATCTGACGACGCTCCGGATTAATACGATAGTTTGTGGGACTCGAAATCGCATACACCCCCCTACAACGAACCACTTCCCATCAACGCCCGTCAACGCAAACCCCACCGACCCCCGCCGTTCATACATACCCAGGCTATCAGAGCCTCCGTGTTCGCGATGCCTCTCGAAAACATCCGCAACATCGTCCTCGTCCTCTCCGGCAAAGGAGGAGTCGGGAAATCGAGCGTAACTACGCAACTCGCCCTCACGCTATCGCTACAAGGACATTCGGTTGGTGTCTTGGATATAGATTTGACGGGTCCGAGTATACCGCGCTTCTTTGGTATTGAAGATGCGAAAGTGAGACAGGCGCCGGGTGGGTGGATACCGGTTGATGTGCATGGAGAGCAGACGTTGGCGGCACACCAGAAAGAAGGAGAGGACGAGAATACAACAGATCAAAAAGAGGGAGGAGCGGCGGCCGCAGATGGTCAAAAGATTGGATCGTTATCATGTATGTCTCTGGGATTCATCCTGGCTTCGCGCTCCGACGCTGTAATTTGGCGCGGCCCAAAGAAGACCGCCATGGTGCGCCAATTCTTGACCGACGTCCTCTGGCCAAAGCTCGATTATCTACTCATTGATACACCACCTGGTACCTCGGACGAACATATCTCCCTACTCGAAACTCTCTTGAAGAATACCACGCCGTCTCCTGCTCTCAATCCGCACGTCCCGTTCTTGGCCGGCGCTGTCGTAGTCACAACACCACAAGCAATCAGTGTTAGCGACGTGAAGAAGGAGCTGAATTTCTGCAAGAAGACCGGAATAAGGGTACTAGGCGTAGTAGAGAATATGGCAGGATTCGTGTGCCCGAACTGTTCGGAATGCACGAACGTCTTCAGCAAGGGCGGCGGAGCAGTCATGGCGACTGAGTTTGAAGTACCATTCCTCGGCTCTGTACCAATTGATCCAGCGTTTGTGGAATTGGTCGAGAGTGGGACAAGGCCCGTATACCCGAAGGGTACTGTCATACAGGGTAAAGAGTTGGACACCGAGGAGGTCGCGGCGCTGAAGAACAAGGGTGGACTATTTGTAGATAAGTACCGGGACTGTTCATTGGCGCCGCTGTTCGACGAGTTTGTGACGAGATTGAAGGGGGATATCGGAAGGATTGTGTGAGTATGCAAACAATGGTCCTTCCTCAATGGCAGGCATGGCGAAGCGATAGAAGAGATATGATCGAGGATATAGAAGAATAGATACCCCTCCCTATTTCGATGATCTAGCAGCGTCGGTGAGTCTTCGCTCCCCTTGAAAGAAGTTCAAGGAATGCTGACTTTCGTATAGTCTTCAACATCCACTTTTCGTGCTTTGCCATCGTTCGGTTCTCTTCACTATTATGTGATCATCTTCACTACTTCAAGTCGTCATGACAACGCCCTGCTATGTAGTCATCCCAGCTCAGGTGACTGCTGCACTCCTACTCGGACACCCGTGAATACGTGTCGCTACAGCGAATCAGGAACGCAGTATCTTGCCGACAAGTAAATATCGCTCATAGACATCAGCTGTCCTCCATTGTGACTCGCCAGGCTCCAGTCGCGGTAGTCAGTATCCGTCCCGTACTCCACATCCCACGTCTCATTGTCACTTTGGGGCTCTTTTCGACAGAGCAAACGCGCAACTGCGAGCTTGTAGGTGAGAGAGGGCTTAATTATGCTTTCAGGTAAAGTTGAACGTAGTTAATTATCGGTCAACTGTTCTGCGGGCTCCATATAAAGCCGCTTCTGCCCACAAGAAAGGTTTTACAGTCTTTCGTCCTACCTACTACACCCACCAGCTTTTCTAACATATTACAAACACCGAGAAACGACTGGTAAGTGACTATCGCGACCCTGAGATTGCTCGACAAATACAGCTTCCAGCGCAAGACGCCAATCAGACTTCCGCAATACTGACCTCACAGGTTGCAACATTGCCGATACTATGGACGCCGCGAGCAATCACGCCGCATCGCCAGACCCTGATCCTACTGCGGGCAGTCCGCGTCGGAAGATTCCGACATCAGTTCAAGAACAGGATCATACGAAGAGTCCTGAGACCAAATCACGTCAAGGACCCGGCAATGGCGCAGGTCAACTCCCTAAAGGTGACTCTGTTCCTATCACAATCAACGGTAACGAGGTTCTGACTTCTGAAGAAGAGCCAAATCCAAGCGCGAGACCGCATTTCATGGTCAAGCTGAAGTACAGTACCAAGATTCCTGTGACTTCTCCACAAGGTCACCGAAACATCAGTAATGCCTCTTCTACTTCTCCGGATTTGCGCGCAACTCCGGATGGATCAGCTAAGCCATCCATCGAACCCGCCATCGTCAAGCAGGAAGTCGAAGACCATGAAGCTACTGCACCCCGAAGCCCAAACTCGACCTCGCCACAAGTCAAGATCGAGAAACAGAGCGATGATCAAGGCTCAGCCCTGAAGCCCCTGAATGAGCCCACAGGAAGTTCGGGTCAGTCCATCATGGTCAAGGACGAGCCTGAGCACGATGCACATGAACATGTCGACGATCGAAGTCAGGGCCTGATTAGGGATGCTATGAGCATTGATGGTCAACTTGGCGACGAGTCAATACAGGTCTCGATCGAACATGACACTTCTGGCAAATCCTCGGATGTTCTCGGTGTCCAGGCTGCTACATCTGAACCCGAGAACTTGAAGGGGACTGCGGCCGTGGAGGTGCAAGGTGTCGATGACGTCAACGGCGACTATCAGCAGAGCGTAAACGGACCATCGATCGCACGTGATAACGACTTGTCATTTGTCGCCGACAACAACATGTCTTACCCCTTCGATGTAGATGAGTGGGCCTTCAACGCCACGAACCAAGCCGAGGCGGACGCAGCCAGCGGATCCCGACAATACCAACATCATCAACCGATCGACCACCAGGCCATGTCGTCCAACTTCACATATCAAAAGATGAGCATGCGGCCAGATGATACAATCGATCAAGAATCTCTGGCCTTTCTTAGTGGCGAAGCTGAAGCTGGGGTACCGTGGAGTCAACGTACCCACGTATTTACGGACCCGGTCCGCTTCACCAAGTCTAGTTCACCCTCTATTGGAAGCGCACGTGCACTCAATCCAGCTGCTATCTTGAGGGGCATTCCGCAGTACGCAACACATTCACCTCGTTATGGGTCGCAACAGCCCGCTGGTCAGAGCCGCCAACTCGATATCGACTCTGCCTTCAATCGTCAACAAGAGCTTCAGGCCCTGGTTAAGGAGAAGCAGAGACAGTTGGATCAAGTCAAGAAGAAGCAAGCGGAGCGTCAGCGATCAACTCGACAGGTGTCTTACGATTCTGCCAGTTATTATGGCCAGCCAGCTGCTGTACCTGCGTTCCTCACTGGCCCAATGAGCTATCAACGAGCCTCTCCGGGTGGCTATCAGCAGATGAACTACGAACAGAACAGCTCGCACAACTGGACACCAGAACGTCGTACTACCCAGGTCACCCAAAAGGCACGAAAGCAATTCGTCAACGAGCACGACTGCGCCGACGACGAAGGCAATGCTTCCGATGACGATGAGCCGCTTCGGACGCGGGTGGAGCGTCACCCATCAGTCACTAGCCTGCATGACGACTCAAGTGTCGAGTTCGTCGCGAGCAATTCCAAACCCAAAAGCAGTGAACCTATTATCGACCGGAAGGTAGTGCGCATGCCACGCCCTCTTCCTCAGCCTGCTTCACCCTCTCCTACACCCACGGAGAACGCGCCACCTCCCTCCGACGACATCCAACAAATTGATTGGACGCTTCCCCGATATGAAATGCAACGTCAGCCTCTCGAGAAAGGCGAAGAGATTCCTAGCGCAAAGGTCTCACTCCCTGGTATGGTCCGCGAAGAAGTTCTCCTCTCCCCAGACCACGCAGACGAAGAAGCCCGCCTACTGATCGATGTCTTCATCCCCGGTCAGCAAGCCATGTCATCACCAGACCCAGAGCCCGCCGTCGCTCTTCTGAACTTCCATACTATCACTCTCATGGTCATAGAAGCGTATGTTCAGTTCGAAATCGGCGACGAGTTCGGCATGGGACGAGGCCACTTCCACCAAGATCACAACCGTGGCGAAGAGGACTACGAGCGCATGCGCGACGCCGTCAATGCCGATACCAACGAGATCTTCTTTGCCGTCGTGGACCGATACCGAGCGGGCTTGGAGAGCAAGAAGAAGCCGCTACAACTCATTCGCGGCACGCAAGAGTTCTGCGACGTGGCGCTTGATGTGATCTATTACATCAAGCAACATGGACTGCTGAAGCCGGAACCTAAGGCCAAGAAGGTTAGGGCTGACAAGGGAACTAAGCGGGGGCCTCAGGCGAAGACTGCGGCAGCTGAAACTGCGGCGAAGGGTAAGAGTAAGGGGACTAAGAGGGGTACGGCGGCCAAGCCGAATGATGTGCAGCCTAGGAAGAGGGTGAAGACTGCGCCCAAGGTCGACGTCAAGAAGAAGAAGAGGAGTGGTCCGGAGCCAGCTCTTACGGTTGTGAGGAAGTGAGCGATTAGGCTAGGAGGATGGTCAGTGGCCATCTTGTCTTTCAGCGCTTGAGGTGAAGAAAAACGGTATTGGAAATGGAGCTGTGGAGTCTCATTTGCGGGATTTCATGATCTGTGCAAGATGGTGCAGTCGTTCATGGTTTTGGCCTCTCATTTTTCCATGACTTGAGTCCTATAGACCTTTCCTTCAACGTACAGATCCCAGTATTCATGTCTTACTTAGTGATGACAAGCTGGAGGAAGACATATAACCTTTTCCCGTATCTTGGAATGAGAGATAGGGTGACTGCTCTGTTTGCCCGTCTTCGGTTGTTCTCCCCGCCTCGCCCAACAGCTCACTTTGCTTCACTTGAAACGTCTCAAGCTAGCTCTCTCGAGACCGAAGTTATCCTTTGGAAAGAGAGTGCTACAGCTTCTAACATGCTGTGCTCGTTGCTTGAATGTGAGACGCTATCCCATCGAACCAACATCTCTACCCGTCCTAGTACGTTGTATCCACGTGGACGGGTTTTCAATTCCAATTTCCTGCAGCAGTTATTCATCTCCGTTGCTGTTGCCCAGGACTGACAGTGCCCCCAGCTAATAGTCGTCCGGAACGCCTGGGGCTTGTGAAGCTTGATCCAATAATGGAGCAGCTCCAGAAGGTCCGCCTTTTTTGAATGGCTGGCTTTTGATTTCGCTTTAGAAATGTCGAAGTTGAGTTGTCGGAGCCGCAGGCGAAGTAGCGGAATGTTGAGGAACAAATCATCCAGAGCATGCATTTGGGGGAAGGCTTTTGGGATGATGACGGTGACTTCCGTGGGGTCGATTACGGGTTTTATCATGAAACGGAAGCAAGGTTTGCGAAGCCATTTGGCGTCCTGAGCGCGAAAGTACTTATCGGCGGCCTTCTGGATTTCCTTCTGTGCTTCTTCTCGGATCTGCTTGCATATATGTAGCAGAACGTTGTAGACTGAAGGCGTAGGGTAGATATTTGGCTGATCTTCTGGTGTGAAATATGCGTAGATCATGCAGCGCAGCTCTGCGGGTAGGTTGAGGAAGGAGCGTCCATCTCGGCGCATGGCGGGGAGTGACGAATGGGAAGCGGCGGATTCAGTGTAGTTGCCCGGCAGCTTTGCGTCGTCGCTATCGTGACCCGTGGAAGATGTAGAGGTCATCTTAATAGTGTATTAGGGACTGGTCTGCGGATCGTAGTCGAGTTGTAGAAGTCGAGTCGAGGTGGTAGCGCGGAATGGTACAGGACGCATCGATCCAATTTAAAAGGTACACAATAAGATAAAAGAGCCTTATCATTAGGCAGACGCAGAACTCGAACTAACGTGACGTCACAAAATGAACGTAGTCCGTTATAGCTGCGTGAGCGTCAAGGCTTACTAGGCATTCGCTCTCTGCGCTTCCTTCTTCCTTGTTTACCTTAACGTACACAAAGGCTGAAACTCCACAGAAAGTCGGAATTCAATACATACAAATCACCCAACCATCTACTCAAGACCAACATCACTCGCCAACATGACAGAGCAAGCCGTGGCAGTTGCTACCCCGGATGGCCTCTCACCCACATCTCAAACCAACAAACTCATGACGCCGGCTCCATCCGTCGCACTTGATGCGCCCAATCGCTTTCTTCAGCTGCCTGCAGAACTGCGGTTTCTAGTATACGCACATCTTTCGCCCTACTCCTCGACTAATCGGGAGCACTTCGGCAAAGCTCAACACCTCAACCTCATACAAACATGTCGACAAATCCGCGAAGAAGCACCTCCAGAGATTGAGAAAGCTGCTGAAGATTTCTATCGCAATTATGAGAGGAACTGGTATGATAGCCACGGAGAGCGGATTTGGATCAAAAAGGATCGCTCTTGGGATAGGGTGAGTGTGCACATCGATCATCCCCTCAATGGTTGCGGTATTCCGCTATTTGACCTGCCTATCAAGCGAGTCGATATCTGCGTTACCAAGGCCGGAACCGACGAGCCGAAGAGTAATCTCCTCCAAAGATACTATGCACAGTTGAAGACTTTCACGAGGAGGGCGGACTCTCCGATGCTTTGCTTGACACTCAATGGTTTCAAATGCATAGAATTTCGTCATTTGAAGGGCAGCCAAGTGTCCACTCATGGTGATTAAGTCGTGAAGCGGAAGGTGGGCTAAAATGGTCTTCGGGAGCACGGCACCAGACGGTGCGCGTAGGACATCGTATGTTATTGCAGGTAGACCGTTACAGGCCAGCACGATGAGATCAAGGTAGACTATATCAATGCTTCACTATTGAATTACGACAACTTCTAATATATCATCGCGTCATCTACTACTTCTTAGCATAACTGTGGTAGTTATCAACAGGAGCAACCTCCTTGACGCTCTCCCAGATCTGCTCAATGCCCTTGACCGCTTCATCGCTAAGCTTGCCCTTCTTCAAGCTCTGCGCAGTCTGCTCAGCCTGAGCAATCTTGCTAGCACCGAAGATAACACCATCTTCGTCTCCCTCGAGTGCGCTGTGGTAGGCCATCCAGCGGTATGCGAGTTCCGCCTTGGGGACACCCTCCTTCTCGGCGATCTCGTTCCACTTGATGAGCGCCTTGCGCATGGTCTCGTTATCGTACAGCTTTCCGTACATGTTGCCCATGGCTTGCTCGTTGAAGCGTCCGGCGCCTGCATCGAGATCTGCAGCCGTCTTCACAAGGAAGCCACCAGCAAGGGGTGAGTATGCGTAGAAGTGCATACCGAGCTTGCGGAGTGTGGGGAAGAGCTGAGTCTCCAAGTGACGGGCAACAGGGTTGTAGTTACCCTGGTAGACCTGCGGGAGTGGGTAGCCCTTGGCCTTCGCGATGTCGTAGACTTGCTGAACTTGCTCGGCCGAGAAGTTGCTGAGGCCAAAGCGGCGGAAGATACCCTTCTTGTATACCTCGTTCATGCCCTCCAGGGTCTCCTCAAAGGGAACGGTTGGGTCTGGAGCATGGATATAGAAGATGTCGAACTGGTCGATCTTGGCACGCTCGATAGATTCCTGGCAGTACTTGATCACAGTGTCCTTTTTGAGTTCACCGGGCGGACCAAAACCGCCAGGGAGCTTGGTATCGATAACAAAGTCCTTGCGCTTCTCGAGCTGGCCGATGGCAACTTCGGATCCAGCATAGAGACGTGCGGAATCGATGTTCTTGACGCCGTTGGCAAGCAAAACATCGATGAGTTTGGCACGGTCTTCTTGCGTGTTGAAGTACGCAGTATCTGAGAGCGCAGCCCCTCCGAAGACTGATTTGACCATGGTGATGGGTGATGAACTCCGAGTTTGATTTGTGGGGATTGATTTGTGGTGTTTAGAGTCAAACAAAAGCTTCAATGCGTAGGAGAATTGATAGCGGGGAAAGCACGAGCGATGATGTTGATGATATAACCGATGATGCAGGGGAGGAAGCCGCGGTTGAGCTGTTGATAGTTCCTTCCCAACACCCCTCTTCCGTTGACTTATATACCTGATGCAGCAGGCAGCAGCTCGCGTCTTTCTCCCAAAACGCCGAGCGAGCCAGCATCCACATTACAAATGTTCACATTCGCCAGTCGTCCGATGATGCCACCAACACAATGCGTATTCTTGGTTAAGGCGTGCTCCACTTATTCCCGACCCCTCTTCGGCAGGACTTGCACACTGGCCCCGCTCGACCACTGCCATGCATGTGCGTACGGAAATAACGGCAGACAGTAACACCAGTCACGTGTTCATCGTGCAATTCAACTAAACAACGAAATCATGCAAAGTTTGTTTATGTATTTGGATACAGGCGATGGCCCGATGTGAGATTTTGCCCTCACTTCCGAGACAGACGTACCTGCGGCCTTGGGCGGGTCGCAAGCTAAGCCATCTAGTGATACGTATCTTTCTGCATGGGTCGAGTGGTCCGTAACGGCGGACGAATAGTTAACACCAAGACAAACAAATCAGACCCAATACTCAGAGCGACGTAATATCACAGAAGGATCTGGAAAGTGTCTGTTGCCTTGTCGTGCAATCTCAGCAATGCATTCTAATCTTACAAAAAGTGAAACGTCTAACACGCATTTCCCTAAAGCGTATGCTCACTTCTTGCGAAATCAATGTGCAACATGACTACCGATCAGATCTGACAAATACATCGTGTGGACGGTCTCGTCCGCTCGGTCATATTGCATTAGAGGAACGATACCCTCCTTGCCAGATGCGCAGCCTACAAATCGTGCGTGCAAGTTGGAAGGGTCGAGTGGAAGTTTGAGAGAGTGAATGAACGTGTTATTGGATGTGCTCATCGAGATAGATGTGGAGCCGAAGCAATGATGAGCGATCTGTTAGCCTTACAATAGACTGCTGTCTTTAGTACCGTACCGCATCGCATGATCTCTCTTTTCACGCGCTTACTACCACAAATGAAGCGCTTAAAAAGAGAGATCATGCGATGCGACGCGGTGCTGATCAAGACTAGTACATTCTCTTGTAAGGGATTACGATGGCCCGGAAGCCATGTCTGTCCAGCCACCATCCGCTCTCCAAACTCCTGCTTTCGTGTAATCCCCCCTTCCACCGCCTCTTATGTAAGCGAATCGAAAGTATTCGTTCACGCCTTCCATGTGTCTAGTCCAAGTCCAGCTTTCCTCCATACGGTCAGCGTATTCATGGTACCTTTCTACATCATTGACCAGAACGCTCATTCCATCATAAGGCTCAGGGAATGGGAAGTGCCAATCGAAAGTGATGTTGGATCTCAGATGGTGGAGGTTGAAGTTGTTGTGGATGATAGGCGCAGTGATGAGTGGGAGTACGGTCCCGATGGGTGCGTCACCACGAAGTGCGCCGGGCGTCTCGAGGATACTGGCAAAGCCCCAGCGTGCGGTCCCGTTGATGAAGAGGCCGATCAAAATACCTTGGAAAAGAAGTGAGGGGCGTGTTTGCATGGATGTGCCAGGTACAAGGAGCAGGCCGAGGATGTAGTGGTGGATGCGGACGTTCATCCTTGGTATGGCGACGAGTGCAAGGATGCCAGCCACCAGAATGCCATAGAGGGCAAGGTAACGCGGTAGACGACCTTCGACACGGAATGACCATGCCTGTCCCAGAGCGATGACGAAGAGGGTGAGGACGATAATGATAAGCGCGGGAATAGCGCCTGGCTGGTTCTTGATATCGTGGGGTGTAAGACGCTCTATGGGAATCTTGTCGAACGTGTAGTTGTTTAGGGCGCCGATCCAACATCCGCCGAGCCAGAGGATGGTTTTCTCTACTTGTGCGTGAAGACCTTGCAGTTGGCGACGCACTGCAAACCGGTAGACAGCATACATGCAAAATGACGCGGGAAGGAAGCGTGACAGAGCAATACTGATTATGGAGTAATAATCAGTCAAGTTGGGAGGGTCTGATGCCAGTGCGACGTGGAAGAAGACACCGACGAAGATGGAGGTAAAGAAGACGGATGGTGAGGTAGTAAACAAAGACAACAGGATGGTAAAGGTCAGCGATACGCCTAGTAATGGCCACCGCAAGTCGCGACATTTGGCTGCCGTACCGGGCAGAAAGGAGAAGGAGCGCGGGAAATACGAATCAAAGCCAATGCTCTTGATGTGTCTCCTGTTTACGCTGGGGTAGTCAGTCTTCTCGCCAACCTGCGCAACAACTCCACAGCCACCCGACGCGTCATTTATGAAGCCAGCATGGATAGCAGCACCGCAGATGAAAGAGTCGGCGCGGTAATATGTGTTCTCCAGGGTGTTTTCCTCGTCGGTGGGTCCGCCAATAACCAATGGACGATAGTTGACGTTCTTGTCACCAACAGCATGTGGATTCAGCAATTGCACGCGTTTACAGTTTGCGGGGCAGCGGAAAGGCATGGTGCTGTTCTCGAAGGGTCGACACAGATCGCCGTTGAGCCCGCAGCCATTGCCATCGTTCCAGAAGCGATCCGTACACCGTACGCGCACGGGGCTGCCATATCCAGGTATGTCCGCTGCAAACGCGCTACGATGCAAGACCAAGCCAAAGGTCAGGATCCAGCAGAAGTAGAAAAAGACCAACAGGGCGATGTTTTGTCTTCTCTCGGGAAAGTAGTTGTTCAACAACTGGATTGGCGCAGTCTGTATCTTGGGAAAGAAAGGGTGTATCTTCCAGGGTCGGGGCGGTTGTGGACCCTTGACC